TATCTGTATGCATTGTTACATTTGCACCTTACCTGGAGTAGCCAGGGTGATCCACAGAAGAGCAGCGAAAAGACCGGAAAAGAACCTCATGCGTGAAGACCAGCTGGGATCATAGAGTAACTGGAAGGCACAGAGGTGGAGGCTGAGGGATATTAAGGGAGAGCAGATGTGATCCTGAGAGCACCCCGGTGCCCGAAAACTATCTGTATGCATTGTTACATTTGCACCTTACCTGGAGTAGCCAGGGTGATCCACAGAAGAGCAGCGAAAAGACCGGAAAAGAACCTCATGCGTGAAGACCAGCTGGGATCATAGAGTAACTGGAAGGCACAGAGGTGGAGGCTGAGGGATATTAAGGGAGAGCAGATGTGATCCTGAGAGCACCCCGGTGCCCGAAAACAATGCCTCTCTAAGGGGTTGTATAATACGTCATAGGCGAGCTAATAGCTCATTGCCCATGACTATTCTGGCCAGATGTTTGTACAACCACGGAGGGTTATTCAGATGAGCCATCTGAGGAACATGCCTTTAAGCCGGGCGTGTCGGGGGAGTCGATAAACAGCGTTTCTCCAGATACAGGAAACGGGGCCAACACCTCGAAGCAGCGTGGCCAAATTCAGTGGGCGTGTCATTTGTAGCCGTGGTTGCAGAAAGAAAACATTTGCCTGGTGGAAATGCGCAAAGGGGCAGACGGCTTGGAGTCTCTGCCGGGCAGCCTGGGGCACGTCTACACTAGGAAATGATTGCGAGTAGCTAAATTCAATTTAATAACCCCCAATTTTCCAAAATCAAAATAGCCCCTCCTCGTTACAGGGAACCCTCGAAATGAGTCCAAGGCGGGCTCCGTGAATGCAGACGTGCCACCTCGACTTAGAGACCCAGGAAGCACTGGGGTGAAATTAGTGTGAATGACTCTGGGAAGCAGCTATTTTGAAAGAGCGGCACTGGAGCGTCCACACTTCCGCTATTTCGAAATACGCGTTATTCCCCGAGGAAAGCAGGAGCGCAGATTTCAAAATAAGCGTCTTGTTATTTTGAAATAACGGGTCTGGGAGTGTGGACACTCTGCTTATAATTTGATCTAAGGGGGAGTTATTTCGAAATAACATTCTAGTGTAGACCAGAGCTTGGCGTCCAGAGGCAGCGGGGAAAAGGTACTCTGTTTGGTAGACGCTTTACATTTTCCATGGCTGGCAAGGGTTGACGAGTGAACAAACTCCCTTGAACAAAGACCGGCGCTTGTTAATTTAGGTCTTAAATGAACAGGTCTTTTCTTGTGTGTGGTTGTAGCCCATTCCATTCGAATCCCTTGTCTTTCAACTCACTAAAACCTGTTTGATTGAGTGGCCTGGTTTGCTCTTATCTCAACCAGCCCGGTGCTGTGCTTGAACTACAATGACTGGTAACGCCAGTCTCTTGAAAGAAGCAGCCAACTGCCCTGAGAGTGAGAGGGCTGGGTGTGGCAGGGAGCTAGTCTGGGGGGAAAATCAGGACTGGGAGTCGTGTGTGTGTGTGGGGGGTCCCTCTGCAGGCGGTAACTGGGCAGTGAAAGTCAGGCTGAGATCTTCTGGTTGTCTGAGAGCTGTTGGTGTCTGGGTTAGCTTTTAGGACACGGAAGCTGCTGGGTAGGCAGTGACACCACCCTTTCTGGGCCTTGGTTGAGCCCCAAAATGGCATAGGAGGGCCTAAGAAATGACTGGAATGTCATTTACCTGGCTAGTGCCTTTTTGCCGTCGCTCGGAACCTGTTGCTGCTCACAACAGATACGCCCAACTCATTCAGGGGCTGTTGTCAGGAGCAAGAAGAAAATCTCCTCTCACCACTGGCTGAAATCAGTCATATGAGAAGTCTGGAATTTTTCCCATTGTGTTCTTCCCCAGAGGGCAACAATCCGGAATTCTGGAGTGAGGTTAGCCAATGCTATTGTCTATGGCCAATGCTATTGTCTATGGCCAAGGCTATTGTCTGTGGCCAAGGATATTGTCTATGGCCAACGCTATTGACTGTGGCCAAGGATATTGTCTATGGCCAACGCTATTGACTATGGCCAAGGATATAATCTGTGGCCAATGCTATTGTCTATGGCCAATGCTATTGTCTATAGCCAACGCTATTGTCTATGGCCATGAATATTTTCTGTGGCCAACGCTATTGTTTATGGCCAACGCTATTGTCTATTGCTAAGGATAAACTTGGTTTGCTGATTCTCACCTGCATATATCCTTTTACAGATGCAATTTGTAACCACTCATTCAGCACATGACTGTCACAGGCCTGGCTGGGCCGCTCACTGGACCCATGAAGGTGAGCTAAGGTTCCACTCTCTGGAACACCAGCAAGGCCCCTCAGCCATCAGTACTACTCGATTTAACATTTTATCGATGTTGTGGAAGAAAATATAAAGTCATCCTTGGATTGCTTAGGGTGGCACAAGCCAAACAATGTATATGGGTGCCAAAAGAGCAAGAAACAATTGAAAAGTGAAACATTTCAGCCCCAAACACACCCTTTCTTGTTTTTTTCAAGGAACACTTGTGGGGGGGCTTTTTTGTTTTTTGTTTTCGTCTTTTTTCCAATAATGAACATTTCTCATGGAAAAACAAGGAGAAGTCCTGTGGCACCTTACAGACTAACAGATTCATTGGCGCATAACCTTTTGTAAATATACAGGCATTTCTTATGCCTGCATATTTATACCTGCCTCTGGAATTTCCACTCCATGCATCTGACGAAGTGGGTCTTTGCCCACGAAAGCTTATGCTCCAATAAATCTGTTAGTCTATAAGGTGCCACAGGACTCCTCGTTTTTGCAGATTCAGACTAATATGGCTACCCCTCTGATATTTCTCACGGAAATTCCCATTTTGAGAGAGGTGTTTTCCACCAAAAACCTGACTCTGAGACCATCCCGCGTCCCCCCCTTGTTGGGTTTTCAGAGTCTGAGCTACAGTGGGCGTGTTTACACTGCTCCTTTTAGCCTGCAGAGTGAGTACCATGGGCCCGAGTCAGTTGGCCTGGGTTCTGAGGTTTGCCACCCTAGGGTGGAGAGAGGAATTTGCAGTGCAGACATACCTCCATAGCTCAGTCCCCCCGTTGTGCCAGGGCAGTATCAGCATGCCCTGCTTCATGGAGATCTCATTTTCGGATAAATATATTAACATGGGAGGTGCTCAGATACTGTGGAAAGGGGGTCAGAGAAGTAAAATACGTAGCTGGAGTCAGTTTAACTTAAGCCAAGCTTGGCAGCTTCCCTTACTCCTGGCAAGAGCAGGAGTGCCAAATGGGGGTGCCCTCTGAGTTTGATTTAGCAAGTCTTAGCTAGACTCGCTAAATCAAACTCTGGAGGATCAATCACAGCGGCGATCTTCCGTGGAGTGAAGACATGGCCTTGGTCGACTCCCTACTTCAAAGTCCAAGCACAGTACGACCAGAGACAGAGGAAACTCAAAAAGTCCAGATCTGTGTTTCTGTTTTAAGGGATTTTAAGCAGCCCGTTGTGCATCCGGGGCCATTTGCAAGCTACAGATCTAGATCCAGATTCGGGGCCAAAGACTCCCGAACTTCATGGGGAGCCAGAATTTGGGACCATCTATAAGACAACTGCAATAGTACCAGAGAAAACCATACCACGCCATCCCAGCAATGAGTTTTGCTTGTAATTAAAGCGAGAGGAAGCAGCTAGAGATTGTATCTAGCAGAGAACAGCAATTATTCTCCTTCGTGCCTCCAGCCCTTCTGTTACGCTGTCCTCGCCCTCATCACTCTGTTTCCTCGCTCTCAGGACAGTCATCTTGTCATATTTCTCCTGCAGCAGAACCGTTGTTGGAAGATGCACATCCCAATCCGCCTCTCGTTCAGGAAGCAGAAAGCTTGCCTGCATCTGCCATGCTTCCGTATGCAAGCCAGTGAGTCGATCACACTTAACAGGGTCCCATCTCCTGTGGAGAGAAGGGGGTTGGGTTTATTCCCCAGGGCAAGGTGATGGCACAACAGCCGTCCGGAAGAGACTATCGCCCCCAGGAATGTTAGCGTAAGCCACACGCCCGTTGGCCGTGCGGCACTGAGTGGCGCTAAGACCAGTTACAGCGAGAACAATGCGCTTCCCCTACAGTGGAACTGGCACTCTAGCTCATGCAGGAGATGCTGGGGCACTAAGCTCCAGAGGTCCCAGGTTCGAGTCTGCCTGTAGACAACTGGGGGCTGTTGTGTTATGTTACTGCAAACAGAAGCCAGTGATTCCCCATGAAGACTTCAGTGTAATTATGGAGATGGGAAATGGGGGAAAATGGTTCAACCAGGCAGCGATGCTCCTCCCAAGAGGCAGAAGTGCTGAGAGGAAGAATGACCTGCAAGAGGTCTGAGGCCTGATCTCCACACACATTTGTACGGGCATGGCTGGGGGAGGGAGGAGGAGGCAACAGCACGCGGGGCCAGGCCCCCCAGGCAACAGCACACGGGGCGGGGCCAGGCCCCCCAGGCCTCAGTGCTGCCCAGAGAGATGTTCTGCTCCTTGTAATCAACTTGATTTGGGACCCCACCCCAGTTGTGCTAGTATTAAATGCAGGGCTCACAGAATCATTGCACACTAGAACTGGAAGGGACCTCGAGACATCATTGGGTCCAGTCCCGTGGCTTCACAGGGTTGGAGCACATGACCTAGGAGGGGAGGCTGAGGGGTTTGGGCTTGTTTAGTCTGCAGAGGAGCAGAGTGAGGGGGGATTTGAGAGCAGCCTGCAACTCCCTGCAGGGGGGTCCAAAGAGGATGGAGAGAGGCTGTTCTCAGTGGGGGCAGGTGGCAGAACAAGGAGCGATGGGCTCACGTTGCAGAGGGGGAGGTCGAGGTTGGAGATTAGGACAAACCATTTCCCTAGGCGGGTGGGGAAGCCCTGGGCTGAGTTCCCTGGGGAGGGGTGGAATCTCCATCCCTAGAGGTGTTGAAGTCCCGGCTGGACCAAGCCCTGGCTGGGATGATGGAGTTGGGCTGGTCCTGCTTTGGGCAGGGGGCTGGACTTGGTGGCTCCTGAGGTCTCTGCCACCCTGGGAGTCTAGGAGCCTGTCTCCACACTAATGCAGATTAAATTACATGTAGCACGTTGCTTATTGAAGAACAATGAAGAACAATGCAGAGCGTGAGCTATTGGCAGAGTAGCTGCAATTAGCTAGTTCCTTCAGGACACACGACATATTAAAGGTCATAGCACTGGGGAACTGGCTGACCAGGGTGTCAGGGAATCCAGCAAGGCAGTTATGGAGCCTGAAAGCTCAAACTCCCTGCCTGGGCACATGCTGGGAACTCCATGCCAGCCCAGCCTGTGGGAAGCCAGAGAGCTGGAAACACCAGAGGGCCTGGTAGCTCTTAAAGTCAGCCACTGGGGAAGGCTGGAATTCAGCAGCCAACAAAGTGTAACACCCCGACTGGTGGGATCAAACCTTCGACCTCTGGAGCTTCATGCAGGAGCCTCTACAGCGGGAGCGAAAAGCCAGCTGGTGCTCAGCTCAGGCTGCAGAGCAGACTCGTTCTCTCTGTCAGTGGTCACAGTGCCGCTCCATGGGACAGCGTCCCACCCCCAGCAGGTGAGCGGGTTGCATAAGGACACAGCTGGGGACTCCCCAGCCAACCGGCAGGCAAAAAACCAAGCAGGAAATCGCCCGGAGCTTTGACACAACCGACGTTTCTGTTCCGTCGACACAGCCTTCCCCCGCGGGCCGCTCCACCGCTTCCCTCCGCTTGTGGTCCTACCCTGGTTGTTAGCGCGGCCTGGAGAGATGGGGGCACTGAGCGGGGAGCCAGCCAGGGCTCGCTGGGGGGAGGGTGTCTCGTTAACGTCCATGCACTAATTGGACGGCTCATGTCTCACCTGGAGCTGCCAGGAGCAGCAGCAAGAAAAGAGGAAAAAGAAGATTCAAGAGGCGCATGGCTGAGGGCTGGTTGGTGTCTCCGGCCGGGGGAGAGGACACAAGATGGAGAATCCAGCTTCCCAAGTGCCTGCCAATAGAAGTCGTGCTCCTAAATCCCTTAGGCACCTCTGAACATGCCCCTGCTAACCACCTGTCCTGCTCCTGTCAAGTTAAAGGGCAGAGCTCTCCTGGACGGCGCAGGATCCGGACCAGATCCCAAGCTCGGGAGAGGTGCCTGGCAGCAGTCGTGAGATCGGGGAGTTAACCTCTGATGACCTCGGTGGATCCGGCACAAAGCCCCGTGATGTCTCTCCAACCCCTTCACTCCGCTCACCGGACGAGCCTTCCACCCATTCAGCACCTTCTGTTACATAGAAGACGGCAACCTGCCTCACGATTGGCTGAAAAGAGTCATGTGACAGGTCAAGACATTTCCTTGATCGACCTGATTGGTGCTGGCTAAAGATGCCATCTGTATAACCCCGCCTCCGAACTGGCTGCCCTGCCATTGACAAGGGCCTTCTCGGCACTCACGCTCCAGCTCCGTGGAGCCGTTTCCGATAAGAAGTGACGTGGCCAAAATGGCCGGGCACTCGGCTTAGAGTGACACAATCCCAGCACACTACGCCTGGGCGGGCCCTCGAGTCCAGCCCCCGGCCCTCCCGGCAGGACCCCGTCCTGTCTAGACCAGGGGTCTCCAACCTTTGGAAGCACGAGATCACGTTTTGAATTTCAGTGCTATCCAGAATCGACCTCACACCCAAACACCCTGGCCCCGCCTCCTTCCCGCCCCTTCTCCGAGGCCCCGCCCCTGCTCACTCCATCTTCCCTCTCCCGTCCTTCCTCCCTTTCACCAGTCAGGGCAGTGGGTTGGGGTGCAGGCGCTGGTCTTGGGCTGCGGGATTTGGCCTCTGTAGCCAATGGACCCCAAATCTTTCTATAGTTTTCTCCC